CTTTTAGGATGGTAGTAGAACGATCGTTGGCTCTTCTGAACTGGTCATACCATTTCAAATTTTTCTTCTTGACGGTGTTTATAAGGTCCCTTCTGATGGTCCCGTTTCTTTTCTGCTGGTATCGCTCATTGCGTCAAATGTGATGAGGGCTACGTAGGAAAATGCCTATTATGCTTCTGTAACTTTTCATTTCAAATGATTAAGCGCTGAAATTCCGTTCTTAATATTCAAGATTCGCAGGCTGACAGAAAGATTTCCCTTCAAAAGAAAGTCAAATTACCAATAAAAGTTTATAAATCTCGCTTTTATACTTCGACCATTCTACTCTGAAAGAGTTTTAATTACAGGTATTTTTAAATCGTCCCTCTTTCGAGATAAATTATAGTTTGCCATATTCTTAGTCGATCTGTGTTCACAATTGTCGGTTCCTGTTATTGTCACTGTTGTCTATATCATTTGTTAGTCGCTGTTTTACAGTTTACAAGTCGGTAAGCATTGTCTATTCGGTCAATTGGCTACAGCGATCTTTCCCATCTGTAAATCAATAATTTAGTCAGCTTTCACCTCTTCATCTTGGGTTGAGCGTACAATCTGAATAGGCTCATTAATAAATGTCTAATAAATTTTTATAACGTCAAATTCATACGTGTGAAACTTCCGATCATTTCTCTCATAAAATATATGAGAATACTTTACTCCCAAGTTCGTTCTGAAGTGAATACTGAGTTTGGGTACTCTTCTAAATGAGCCGCTGACTGCATCTCCTTTTACTGCGAAAATGATCAGGAGCCAGTTTTTGCCAGTTCAAATGAACGATAAATCGAATTAAAGTCTCAACTTCTAATGATTTTATTACGTTTATCCAAACGTTACCAGCGTTCTGTTTTGAAAAACAGACTAAAGATACAAATGAAAACCGACATTTTCCGCTGGAGAATTTTTCACACATCAAATAATTCTTTTTACCCCGGCCTTATTTATCGCTCTCAGCACTATTTAGCCCCCGTCAGCTTTATTTACGCCCCTTGAATTTATTTACCTCCTCAGTATTATTCAATTCGTCTGCTTTATTCAGATACATGTCTGGCCTGTTTTCTAACCTTCTGGGCATTTCGAAATTTATTCCCTGCACGTAAATGCAACGGTGGTGGTGTGTTTGTTTTGAATTTTATTGAAACAGAGGAGTGCCAAGAAAGAAAGCATCAAAATAATTATTATCCTGAATACAAACCCCAGTCATGACAATTATTTTCGAAAACAAGACATTGGAGTTTTTAAATGGCATGTCCCTTCAGGACGTAGACGATCATGTCTCTCCACGGATTCATTTTCTTTATTATCTCTGAATTAGCATGCATTCTTGGGAAATATAATGAAGTGGTTTCCTGTTGTCTTCTCCACGGTTTGAAATTCAGAGTTTTAGGCTGGTTGCCACTCAAGGCTAGAGAAACCAGTCACTGCAATTTAATCTATATATAGGGAGTGTGAGAGGAGATGGAATCATGTCTTTGCCAAAAAGAATTCGAACGAAAGTGAACGCAACAGACTAGACCAGAATATACAATAGAAAATCGTTTTATTAAGTTTAGACAATAAATCTACAATATCTATCTATCTATCTATCTATCTATCTATCTGTGTATGTATGTGTGTGTGTGTGTGTGTGTGTGTGTGTCATATACTTTAAAAACGTTTTCTTTCATCTATATCTACGCCCTATGGCATAGGTAATATTTGCCTCATATTCGGCCTTCACTGATCGAGCAGCCAGTTCTCTCGTTGGTTGAAATTTTTAAAATCTTTCTATTAAAACAAATTTTTAGGTCAATAAGTTTCTCAAGCCCAGTAGCTGTTATCGCTCTTTCCATTATTGATGGCTGATTCCTTGCTAACCTTTTCTTTGAAGTATTGTGAAACCTCAACATCGTGATTATAATATTTTTCTTCCTGTTACTGGTGCTATGAATTTTACTTGTTGCTGTTTTGGAAAGTTCTGAAGTGATATAGTTTCTGTTATTTGATACAATTTTTTGTTTCCGATTGTGTAGCGCCAGTCCACCAGTTTCGAAGAAGGCTAGTCCTCGCTACGACCTACAGGTTTTATTTTCTTCATGCCATTGTTAATCATTGATCTGAGAAAGTGATTGAATACAGTTGACAGTTTATATGTTTTTTGAATTAGTTTAGCGCCATGTATGACACCTGTATAAAAGTTTCGATCTGACGAAGCTATTTAAGAGCATGACTGTTGTAGCATACCCACGGACGATAATAGGTATGTCGCCATTCACATAAATACAGTAGTAAATACTGTATGTTGGTCTTCAGTCGGAAATTCGTCTCAAGCTGTGCTGGACAAACTCTCTATCTTCGGGCAGAGAGGATCCCCAGACGAGGCTATGTCGAAGGGCAGAGTCTCTTCTTGGGAAACATCTATCCGACCCCGTTTTATACAGGATCTACGGGGAATTTTTTGGCCGAGCCTTGGATACCTCACATTGAATTCGGCCTTGTGCCACATCTGACCACGTGGCGCGGTTGGTAATTATCCCGCAGTTGGAGATTCATTATGGAATTCACTTGACTCACTTCTATCAGCTGAATACTACTATGCGCCGCTGGCGAATCTTATATGTGTTGTTCTTGTCCTAAGTATTATCGTTCATTACCAACCTTCGTGTGATTATTCTATTCAGTAACCTTCCCTAGGTTACAACAATGACTCACTGATGAATTCAGGGTCAGTGCCATCGCCTCATTCCAATTCCAGATCATAGTTTCTGTTTTGGAAAGGTTTATATTGAGTCCTATTTCTTGGAACAGTTGGTACAGAATGTTGATTTTTTGTTCAGCATCATTTTTATCTTGTCTATGAATCCCTATGTCATCGGCATAGTCCCCCACCCTGGTAATCAGTAGACTGGGCGCGGTAGACTGATCACTGTTTTCTATTAGTTGGTTGGTTTGTGATGTGATGTGGAACACTTAAATGACCAGTGCTTAACTGTTCCCTTGTGTTCTTGCACATGGAATAGTCTAGGAAAATATTAAATAGATTAAGGATCTCATTTCGTCTTTGTCTTATTCCTCATGAAGTTAGAAATGTTATATAAATTCTCTAGGCTAACAAAAGGGAACCACCAGAGATCATGGCAGAGTTTAACGACACAAATGATCAATAGTTTGAATTAAATTGAAAATCAAAGAACGGGCAACTACAACATTTAATTTGGATGCTTCAGGTGGAGTAATTTTTTGCGGGATAGTCTGTTGGGTCATGAATAGTAAGTTTGTTCCTTACTGGGTGCCCCATATACGTAGCCTTGTGCCAAACTAAGCAGTGTAAATTATTTATTATTAAAGACACCTTATTTAGGTTGTTATAATACACCATGTGATGTTTCATAGCCCAAGTAAAAGAAGATGAACCAAATGAATCAAAATGCTTCAAAGAGGAGGGCTTGGGCTTAAGTAAGAGAGAGAGAGAGAGAGATAGAGAGAGAGAGATAGAGAGAGAGAGGGGGGAGAGAGAGGCAGAGAAAAGAGAATGAGAGATTGAAAGAGCAAAAGAGAGAGAGAGAGAGAGAGAGAGAGAGGGAGAGACGCAAAGAAGAGAGAGATATAGCGAGATAGAGTGTGTGCGTGTGTTTGTGTGTGTGTGTGTGTGTGTGTGTGTGAGAGAGAGAGAGAGGGAGAGAAGGGCAGAGAAAAGAGAGTGAGAGATTGAAAGAGCAAAAGAGAGAGAGAGGGGGAGAGACGCAAAGAAGAGAGATATATAGCGAGATAGAGTGTGTGTGCGCGCGTGTGTGTGTGTGTGTGTGTGTGTGAGAGAGAGAGAGAGAGAGAGAGAATGGGAAGCTGGACCGACCGACCAGCCAAATTCCAAATCGGCTGATAAACCAATGGTTTAGGAAAGGATTTAGCGGATTATTTTCTATGATCAGGAACAGATGTCACAAAATTACCACTGAACAGTAAAACACACTGACAGCGATAATTCTACAATTTGGAAACGAGTAGTTTTTACTCCAAGAGTTGTTCAGACGATTGATCTCTTCCTATACTATTCGATAAAAAGGAGACATTCTCTACCTAAAAAGATCAGAGGTTAACCGAAATTTCGTGATAACAACAAATGAATCAAAATGAAAGAAGTCAATAATCATAATCCTTGAAAGAAACTGATAATTAAAAAAAAAACAACTAATCTGGGATGTACTTTAAACAAATTATGAAAAAAAGAAAAAAGAAAAGAAAGATAAATACTTCAAAATTGCTTACCGATTCTCCGTGATTTATATTTCGTTTGAATTATCCTATTAAACAAATAATAATTCAATTGTCTATCATTTAATCTTATAATCTGATTAGTTATCATAATATCATCGGATTTCTCTTTGTGGCTATGTCGATTATCGTAACAAATCAAAAGCGATAAAACGCAACATCTTAGGGCATTGCCACTAAAATGCACTTGAAGAATAAACAGCTCCCCATTTTGTTTCCAATTTAATAAGTGTGGAGTCTTCGTTCGCGCTCACCCTGATAACAATGATCTGATTTGGGCATATTTGCTTGTGAAAAGTAAATCATATCAATTTTTTAAGAGAAAAAAATAAGGAAAGTATTAATTACTGCAAATAATGGAACAATAATGAATAAAAATTTGAATATTTTTTTATAGGTCCAAAATATTATCATGGCCATTAAAATAGATATATTTTATCGAAGTGCAATGAAAAAAAAATTGTTTTTTTTATGGCTTATCAACCTTTTGCAGGTTATTTAAAGCCAGAAAATATTTTTAGATTGCGATATGTTTTTGGGGATAATAATGATTTATTGATACAAGTCTTACTAATTAACCCATAGCTGGGGAGAGAAGAGGTGGATTCCTACATTTCCCAACGATATTTGTGTGTAAGTGAATGTAACGACCTCGACAGAAATTGGAACTCTGCTCTCCGATTATGTGTTACATTACACATACACTTAAGCTTTCCAGCACATGGTATTCCCAAGCGGTCATCCATCTAGGTACTGACCAGGCTCGACGTTGCTTAACTTCGATGATCGTATGCGAACCGGTTTTTCAACGTGATATGGCCGTAAATTTATATTTACTGGGAAAAGCAAATAGAAAAGAATAAATTGCGGAATGTATAAACATTTTTACCTTGCATTTATATATCTGTTTTATAGGCACGTTTACCTTGCATTTATATATCTGTTTTATAGGCACGTTTACCTTGCACTTATATATCTGTTTTATAGGCACGTTTATCTTGCACTTATATATCTGTTTTATAGGCACGTTTACCTTGCATTTATATATCTGTTTTATAGGCACGTTTACCTTGCACTTATATATCTGTTTTATAGGCACGTTTATCTTGCACTTATATATCTGTTTTATAGGCACGTTTACCTTGCATTTATATATCTGTTTTATAGGCACGTTTACCTTGCACTTATATATCTGTTTTATAGGCACGTTTATCTTGCACTTATATATCTGTTTTATTGCACTTATATATCTGTTACCCTTATTTAAAATGTTTGAGCATAAATAAATACGTTTTAGTATAAATAAATACTTTGATTTTACTATAAATACCTTTAGTATAAATAAATACCTTTTAGTATAAATAAATACTTTTCAGTATAAATACTTTTTAAGTATAAGTACTTTTTGGTATAAATAAATACATTTTAGCATAAATACTTTTTTTGTATAAATACTTTTAGTACAAATAAATACTTTCTTAGTATAAATACTTTTTAGTATAAATGAATACTTTTATTATAAATAAATACTTTTAGTATAAATAAATACGCTTTCAATAAAAATACTTTTTAAGTATAAATAAATACCTTTTTTACAAAAAAAAACAAATTAACATATTAATATTTCAAGGGTATTATTATCTATTATCATGAATGGATTATTCCATTCTTGTTAAATAATCCTGGATAATTGTCTAGAAGAGAAATAAAAGATAATTGAATACTACTCTCACGACTGACTCTGTCGAGTTAAGTGTTGTGTCTTGCTAGACCCCACATCACAGCAGTCGGCGATGAGGATGATTCATTATTTATTCTAATAGTGGTGGACAAAGATTCATTTTTCTCGACTTGTGTAATCAGTAAGTCGAAAAAAATCCACGCCGGAAACAACGGAACATTAAAACGTCTGAAATATAAATTGGAAGTCAAACAATTAAAAATGGAGGACTTGAAAGCAGTAATGTTGGAATTAAGAAAACAACAGCAACAACAAGAACAGCAACAACAATTCCAGAAAACATTGTTGAGACAACAAGAACAACAATAAAAATACGAGAACTTTTTTTATGGAGAGCAAAAGTAATGAAAGCATGTCTACTTTTTTTTTCTTACACGATGTAGTAGAATTGGCAAATTTAAATATCGATATAACAATAATAGAAGCGTATACATTGGTAACATACTACATACGCTGTGAGGAAATCTAAGAAAGTTAGGGTTCCATGGAACAGGAAAAATACGTGAATTATAGTCTGCCGAAAGAATCGGGTGAATTGTCATTTGAAGAAACTATTATCGTGTTCAATAAAATTTTCAATGAACGAAGTTCTTTGTTTAATACACGATGGCAATGCTAAGATCTTGTAAAAAATGAATCTGAATATTAAACCACTTATGCTAGTATCGTAAACAGGGTATGTGAAATGTTTAAGTTAAGCAAATTAATATCCGACATATTTAAGTATATGATCTTCGCACAAGGGTTGTCCGAAAATAGGGACGCGGAAAATGAGTTTTAGAATTTGGACAAAACTTGAACAGGACTCAAATTTGACTTTGCAAACTGTAGCTGAAGAGTTTAACAAAATAGTGAACATAAGACACGATATGGCTAGAATTGAGGAAAGAAAGAAATAAATTTGGTTCGTCCCAAAGAATTATGGGAAAACAAAATACTTTACAAAACCAAATCCATGTTATGAATGCGGAGAAAAAAAAAAGAATAAAAAGTCAAAATTCAAGAGTACTGTAAATGTTGCCTCCCATGACAGACAACGTAAACAAGGGTCAATAAGAAAATTTAAATAGAAGAAATATAAAGTTTCAGTTAAACACAGGGTCAGATTTGATTATTATAAACAAAGAAAAGTGGGAAAAAATCAATAAACCAATATTAACATTACCCCCACCCCAAACGCTCGGGGCCTTAATGGGTAGAAATTTAACTTTAAAGGAGAGTTCACATCAGATGTATCGTTTTATGGGAAAACGGCGAAGGCTAAAGCATCCGTGATGGAAAGAACTTATAACTTGTTCGGAACTGATTGGATGCAACTGTTCAATTTATGGGATTTGCCCATAAACCTCATTTTGTAAAAAAAAAAAAAAGAGGATAGCTTCTAGTAACTCTGAAAGGCTAAACAAAGAATTGAAAAATCAATTTCCGGAAGTTTTTACTGAACGGTTAAGTATATGCACGAAAACTGAACTCAAGTTCCAGTTAAAGGAAAAGGTGATACCAATTTTTAAACCGAAGAGAAAAGTGCCTTTTTCATCTTTGGATACAATAAACAAGGACTTGGATCACTTCTAAATTATGAGAGTGATCTCCAAAGTAAATTATAACGATTGACCTCTCATCCCCGACCGTTTATGTGAAAAAGAATAATAACAAAATCCGTGTATGTGACGATTTCTCTATGGGTCTGAATGCTTCTTTACAAGCTTACTATTTAGCCTCTGTCAAACCCCAAAAGAATTTTTTGCAAACTTAAATGGCGGAAAGTAATTTTCAAAGTTGGACATGTCAGATGTATATTTGCAAATCCAGGTTGACGAAGAATATTCAAAACTATTAACAATCAATATCCATAAGGGATTATACAAATTTAACAGATTACCTTTCGAAATTAAGGTAACACCTGGAATTTTTCAGCATGTAATGGGCACAATGTTGAGAGACCTAAACTTCGCAATCGCCTACTTTGATGACATTTTAATCAAAAAATGAAAATAAAGAGCTGCTTAGTCAAGCCTGTAAATGAGGTATTCAGAAAAATAAACTGTTGAGGGGGTCCACCCCTTTTTATACAAATGGACTCACCCAATGTATACTTATACTACTGCCAGTGAATACCCGAGGAGTCGAGTCCAGAGTGACAGAGTAAAAGGTTGTAGGTAACCGGAAGAGTGAGGGGTGAGGTAACAGCGTTGTAGGAGTCACAGTGAGCGAGCACGTAGACTCAGTAAGAAGTCATACAGCGATACTTCAATACCAAAGACTGTATAGATATTTTGCTACTAACCCGTATTCCTGGAACTACTAACCTGCATTACCAGTTTGTATTATTACGTTAATACATTATTTTCCTATATTCATTCTTGGCGTTTGTTATTTATTGGTACCGGATTTCAACCCGGAATCCACAACATAAACAAATACTGGTTTAAATTGAGTGATGAGAAATGTGAATTTTTTATGATGAAAATTAAATATTTGGGCTAAATCATTGACAAAAATGGTAGGAAACCAGACCCAACCAGAGCAAGTGCGATTAAAAGTATGCCCTCCCCAACAAATGCATTACAAGCATTTTTAGGTTTCACAAATTATTATAATGTTTTTAATTTCCAACATGCATTTTTTACGACCACCATTAAACAATTTATTAAAAAAAACATTCTAAGTGGAATTGAGCGGCCGAATGTCAAAAAGCACTCGAAAAAAAAAATAAAAAGATTCTAACGCCGGACTTGTTTCTCTCGCATTTTGAGCCAAAATTAGAAATAATCGTGGCGAACGATTTTAGTAACTACGGCTTCGCTGCTGTACTTTTGTATGAACACAAAGACGCTTCTGTAAAAGCGATAGAAAATGCATCAACACTTTTATCAGGTGAGAAGAATTGCATCCAGATAGAGAAAGAGGCGTTAGAATAATTTTTGTTTTGAAAAATAACCAGAAATGCATCCAAGGTCGAAGGTTCATCCTACAGACGTACCCCCGTCCATCTATTTTCGGGTCGAAAATGGGTATCCCGACAGTGAATCAACTATAGCGATGGGGTTGGGGATAATTCTGTTGAATTACAATTTTAAAAATGGAATTCCTGCCATCAAAAACGCTAAGTCATGTAGATGCTTTGTCCAAGCTCAAGCCTAAATTATGCAAACCTTTCGAAGATACGGTAATTGCAGCGCTAAGAGCTGAGAATGAAATTAAGAACGTTCTCTTCAATACCGTACGTAATATCCAAGTGACGCCGGATGAAATTAAAATAAAAGTTCAGGTGGATACTTTTTTTAGAGAAACGTTGTAATAAATATGTCGAAAAAGATGAAGAAAATAGTCCGAATAATTTACATCATGTACATAATACCTCATCTCAGAAATATAGACAGGTACTGATAGACAAAGACATAGAGAGATTGGTAAAAACGTGCAGAGATTGTGCCATGGCAGCAAAATCAAAACCAGTTAATTTCCACCCTTGGCCAAAGACAGACACATCGCGGTCGAGATTACACATCGATTTTGCGAGATCGATAAACGGTGTCTACTACCTAATTGTTGTCGACAGTTTTTCCAAATGGCCAGAAATTTTAAAATGCAAGAGTTCTACTTCTACAATTACAATAAACTTCTTGCATGAATTATTTGCTAGGTACGTTATTCCGGGTACTATTGTTTCGGACAACGCCATTAAATTCGCTGCGAATGAGTTTGAAAGTTTCTGTAAAATCTTTGCGATATAACATATCAAAACTCTCCCCCTTACCATCCAAGATCGAATGGGCAAGCAGAACACTTCGTCGATACATTCAAAAGGGTATTAAAAAACAATGAAGGTGAAACTAAGTAAATGTTATTATCACAGTTATTACTTGTATATCGTATGACACCTTAATCCTAACACAGTATCAGTATGTCCCCGGCTGAAGTAATGTTCACAAGAAAAATTATGCCGGTGATTGACAAACTGCAGCCGTTTCGAAAAAGGTCGAAAACAAGAAAAAAATCTAATACCCGAATATACTTAAAAAAAAGTATTCTTTTGAACATACAAAATGGTAAAGAATGCTGGGAAGATGGGATAGTCGAA